TTGCATACAGTATAAGAAAAACAGACCAAAACACAAAAACTTAACTATAACCACTGAACCATGAAAATGAGGTCAAGGTCAGATGACACCTGCCAGTTGGACATGTACACCTTACAGTCCTTCCATACACTGAATATACTAGACCTATTGCTTATAGTATCTGAGATATGGACTTGACCACCAAAACTTAACCTTGGTCACTGATCCATGAAATGAGGTCGAGGTCAGGTGAAAACTGTCTGACGGGCATGAGGACCTTGCAAGGTACGCACATACCAAATATAGTTATCCTATTACTTATAATAAGAGAGAATTAAACATTACAAAAAATCTTAACTTTTTTTTCAAGTAGTCACTGAACCATGAAAATGAGGTCAAGGACATTGGACATGTGACTGACGGAAACTTTGTAACATGAGGCATCCATATACAAAGTATGAAGCATCCAGATCTTCCACCCTCTAAAATATAAAGCTTTTAAGAAGTTAGCTAACGCCGCCGCCGCCGCCGCCGGATCACTATCCCTATGTCGAGCTTTCTGCGACAAAAGTCGCAGGCTCGACAAAAAATTACTCGTGCCCCCCACCTCTTTAAAAAAAAATCAAAAGGTCTGGTCGTCCCTTTATGAGGGTATGGAAATCGACCTTTATATAAGGTTTAGTATTCAAAAATCAACATTTGTTTAACCTTCAAATAGATAAAAATAATCGAATCTTTAGCGAAATGCTAAATCAATTTTTTTGTCATATGTTGTAAGGAGATTAAGTAAAACCAAGTTTGAGCTTTCTAAAAAGCTGTGGACTGCTTCGCTCTACCCTAATTTATTGTAATATGTGTGCATGTGGTTGTTGATTGAGTATTGGAAATGCGGTATTTTTAGATATTGATTGATATAAAATGGATGTCTTAGATTTGGAATATCAATTTTTGTATATATATTAAAACATGAACTTTTCTGAAATTTTAAACTGGCTGTTCAGTGTTTAGTTAATGTGTTTTTGTGGAGTGTTGTTTTCTTAGACTAGTTCTTTCAGCTGGTCATTGACTTGCGATTTTGATTGCTAGTTCTGTATACACTGGAAGTGTGCCTAGATTGGCAGAAGGTATAAAATACAGATAATGCATTTTTGTAAACATTGTATAGGAGAGTTGTTTAGTAAAAAAAAATTGTAAGGGTTCCGCGGAACCCAGTGTCTCGCCTACTTTTGCTGTTAATCGCAGGCTCAACAAAAATGAGATGAGGAAAAAATTCAATAAAAATATTCCTCTCGATACAATTTTTTTATTGTAAGAAGCTTCTGTCCAAGTTTGGTGAAAATCCAGGATAGTTTATGAATCTAATAAATGTTTTAAAAATTTAACTGCAGACTGTATCTAATGTTAACTGGAAGACAAGAGTGCACACGCTGAAATGTCTCGCCTTCTTTACTAATCACTGATATTATGTTGATAGTTCTAAATATAAAGCTTTATTACAACTGTCACATAAACTTAACATTAACCAAGAAAACTAAACATTGACCAATGAACCATGACAATGAGGTCAAGGTCAGATGAACCATGCCAGGCAGGCATGTACAGCTAACAATTCTTCCATACAACAAATATAGTTGACCTATTGCATATAGTATTAGAAAAACAGACCAAAACTCAAAATCTTAACATTGAGCAATGAACTGTGAAAATGAGGTCAAGGTCAAATAAAACCTGCGCGACTGACATATAGATCATAAAATATTTCCATACACCAAATATAGTTGACCTATTGCATATAGTATTAGAAAAAAAGACCAAAACTCAAAATCTTAACTTTGACCACTGAACCATGAAAATGAGGTCAAGGTCAAATGACACATGCCAGCTAGACATGTACACCTTACAATCATTCCATACACCAAATATAGTAGACCTATTGCATCCAGTATAAGAAAAACAGACCAAAACACAAAAACTTAACTATAACCACTGAACCATGAAAATGAGGTCAAGGTCAGATGACACCTGCCAGTTGGACATGTACACCTTACAGTCCTTCCATACACCGAATATACTTGACCTATTGCTTAGAGTATCTGAGATATGGACTTGACCACCAAAACTTAACCTCGTTCACTGATCCATGAAATGAGGTCGAGGTCAAGTGAAAACTATCTGACGGGCATGAGGACCTTGCAAGGTACGCACATACCAAATATAGTTATCCTACAACTTATAATAAGAGAGAATTTAACATTACAAAAAATGTTAACTTTTTTTTCAAGTAGTCACTGAACCATGAAAATGAGGTCAAGGACATTGGACATGTGACTGACGGAAACTTCGTAACATGAGGCATCCATATACAAAGTATGAAGCATCCAGGTCTTCCACCTTCTAAAATAAAAAGCTTTTAAGAAGTTAGCTAACGCCGCCGCCGGATCACTATCCCTATGTCGAGCTTTCTGCGACAAAAGTCGCAGGCTCGACAAAAAACTAAGTCCATTTGTAAGTAAAATATGGATAAACAAGTACAAAATTTTAATAAAAATTTCCTTCTAGATACTAGCTTTTGATCATAAACAAACTTCTGTCCATGTTTGGTACAAATCCAGGATAGTTTAAGAAAGTTATTAAAATTTTAAAAACTTTAACCACAGAGTGAATGTAATGTTTCCTGGCAGAAAAACTAAGTCCATTTATTAGTAAAATACGGAAAAACAGGAATTTTTTTTTTTAAATTTACTTCTGGATACTATCTTATGATCATAAACAAGCTTCTGTCCAAGTTTGGTAGAAATCCAGGATAGTTTGAGAAAGTTATTAAAATTTTAAAAACTTTAACCACAGAGTGATTGTAATGTTTCCTGGCAGAAAAACTAAGTCCATTTATAAGTAAAATACGGAAAAACAGGATTGATATTTCAATATTGAATTTCAGTGTGCAATATATGCATAATGAAACGAACATGAATTAATGACAGATGATCGGAACTGAAATACACATAGTTAATTTTCCGGCATTTGATGTCTTATCCTGAGACGAGAAAAGTCTGTACTTCTTTATCTCATTTAAGCCAATAGCTGTTGCTGTATCTCAGCCGCATCAGAAAGCAACCAATCAGAATGATCAATCTATATGTGATAAGTAATTATTTCAAGATGGCGCGTATATCGACTGAAACTAATAGCTCCGCACCGTGATGCGAAGCAATAAAGCACGAAAGCAACCCTTAATGTGAAAGGTGTACCTGACTTACTCTTTCACGATAAGAATTTACATATTTCAGTATTTTAATCAAACTGTATCCAAGGGTAGATATCTAAATTAACACTTTATCAAATCAATCTTTAGTATTTCGTAGATTTTTTCCCCGAAAATTTACAAGAATACACCATCAGGATCTAAACTGATTTTCACCTGCCATTATTAGATTTTATGCGACTATATTTCTTTAATTCAAAAGATGCATTATAACTTCTAGCTCTAGTGTATAAATAAGTATACAACATATTATCACAATTGTTCTGTGTGCAAGATATGCGCGTCTAGGTCTTCTTACTTCTCTATTATAAGGTTTATATAAATTGTTTATGTCATAGCCGCAGCCGGATTTGCATCCCTTGTAAAGCATTCTGCGATACCAATACCGTCTCAAAATGTTGTTTTATAGCATGTTATTTTCAAAAATTTCAAACAGTATAAGTCGCGAGCATGTACCTTTTTATACTAAAGATGCTTTTGTTTTATTAGAAATGTTCTTTAAACCAGCATATTGGTTGTATAGTTAGTTGCCTTTAAAAATAAGACAATAATACTTTATTTAATAAGACTTATAAAATAAGATGTGGTATGATTATCAATGAGACGACTGTCCTACAGAGTTCAAACGAAGTGGATTTAAGCAATTGTAGGTCACCGTACGGCCTTCAACAATGAGAAAATCCCATACCGTATAGTCAGCTATAAAAGTCCCCGACTTGACAAACGAAAAGAACAATGGTCTGATTAATGACAAAACGATAAACGAAAAACAAATATGACAGACAGCAATCTACAACTACTTAACTAGGGACAGGCACATATAGAATGTGGCGCGATTTAACATAGTTGTGAGCTCTCAAATCTCCACTCCCCTGGGACTGTGAACAGCACAACATATAACAAACCAGGTTTTTTTTAAAGAAAAAGATATGTAACTAGTAGTTAATGTAAACTATGTTATAAATCTAAAACTATATTTTGTGACCTGGTCCTTGTTTGACAAACTGAATACTAGTACCTGTTTAAAGAGAGCATATGAGGAAGACATTTTTCCAAGTAAACATTACGATGATACATGGAATAATCAAAGTGCATAAGGCGAGTCATTCTTAAGTGTGTATAAAAAGATTTTCTCACAAGGTTAACAGAGTTCAAATAGTCTGGTTTACATAAAATGTGTATATAGAATATCATTTGAATTTGATTTGCTAATGCCAGCTGTCATTTAACCATACGAGTAGCCTGTCAAAGACACCGCAACCGTGTAAAAGAAAGTCAGAACATTTATCCGCTGTCGTATGTATCGTATTCAAATTGTAAACGCTTAATTTTTTTTTTCAATATCATAATTTTATGACTGGGAGAAAAGATAAACTTATTTTTCATTTGTTAAATGTATTAAAATTGTCTACATTACATTGCATCTCATATCTGATGTAAACTCGGATATAAGAAACATAATACATTTCTTGAAAAGGACGGCATATACATTTTTTTTTAAACTAGCAAGTTACCATACAGTTGGAAAACAAGTTGTCGTATTGTAAATCTGTAAACATGAGCAAGTTGCCGTACCCTAGGCTTAATTGGTGTTTACTGATATTCTTTAGAAAACATCTTTTTGATAGCGAATGCCAGTAAATATGATGTCACAATATCATAATCTCAAAATTTGGTTGGTACCCAATTTCCGGTGGCGATGATACACAGGATATCAACTGTGAGAACATATGCTTTAGTTTTTCATCATTATATATACCTGTGTCAAATGCTCGACCATGTCTTGGAGTTCTTGTGAGGCTATATACAGTTTACTCCTACGAATTGGATTCACGTTACAAATTGTCACGGCAGGAAACTTGAGGTTACTAAATCCTAATTCAATTTTGGTATTCACAGGGTACTTCGTGAACTGATTTATAAGATAGTACAAGTGTGAGCCCATCCCAACAGTACAAGCGATGAGAAGACATATCCAGAAGATCTTTTGTCCCCTATTTTTAGCACTGTATATGTAGAATACACCTTGCATGGAAGTCTTCTCTGCAAATCGTGCAAAAAGACGTTTGAAAGACTTATTTCCTGTTGAATTTACAGATGTACTGCTTCTACCATGAAGACCACTCTTTCTCTAAAATAAAAACATGATTATTATTTACAATTTCTGCATAAGAAAACATAAATGTTTTGTTTTATGTCGTATTATTCAGTTAAAACATTTCATAAACAGTTGTTAAGTAAATCTAAGAAATTTACTGACTGAATGGATGTGTCTGGAAATAAGACCATGGAAGTTACAATACAATTTCGCATGATCATCTTACGAGTATTTACAGTTCTTGAATCCAGCACTGTCATAGGTTTAATTTCAAGAAATGAATTGACCTGAGAAAGTTCGAAATTTTAAATGAAAATGCCGAAGTTATTTGGATGTAAGCATAAATTTCCGTAAAAGAGGTAAGGCCGATATCCTGTAAATTTGTTTCTTTCATGAAGTCATACGGGAAAAACAGAGAAACATGATGAAAATAAGAAAATGAAAGAGTTTACAAATGATTATATTTAATTGATTTTTGAACATGAACAATTTTACACAATTCCATAAAAGAAAAATACTAAAAGACAATACATGTTGGGTTTAAATTGAATATCACTACTTCACTTTTTTGTTTAGATATAATACAAAACAAGAGTGCACACGCTGAAATGTCTCGCCTACTATACTGACCATTGATTTTATGTTGATAGTCTTACATATAAAGTTTTACTTAGTACAAGTATCACATTATCATTTATGATCCAAGAAAATGAGGTCAAGGTCAGATAAACCAAGCCAGAAATACATTTACACCTTTAATACAATCATTTCATACACAGAATATAGATGACCTATTGTTAATAGTATAAAAGAAACAGACCAAACCATGGAAATTCTATATTGACCAATGAACCATGAAAATGAAGTCAAGGTCAGATGAACCCTCCCAGACAGACATGTACACCTTAAAATCATTCCATGCATCAAATATAGTTGACCTATTGCTTATAGTATCTAAGAAACAAAGTTAACCAGGAAAACTAAACATTGCCCAATGAACCATGAAAATGAGGTGAAGGTCAGATGATACCTGCCAGACAGACATATTCACCTTACAATCATTCCATACACCAAATATAGTTGACCTATTGCTTAAAGTTTAAGAAAAACAGACCAAAACACAAAACTTAACATAAGCAATGAACCATGAAAATGAGGTCATGGTAAAACAAAACCTACCAGACTGACATGTACATCGTAAAATATTTCCATACACCAAATATAGTTGACCTTTTGCATACAGTATTAGGAAAACAGACCAAAACACAAAAACTTAACATTGAGCAATGAACCGTGAAAATGAGGTCAAGGTCAAATAAAACCTGCCAGAATGACATGTACATCGTAAAATATTTCCATACACCAAATATAGTTAACCTATTGCATACAGTATTAGAAAAACAGACCTTAACACAAAAACTAAACTATTAGCACTGAACCAGGAAAATGAGGCCAAGGTCAGATGACACCTGCTGGCTGGGCATGTACACCTTACAATCATTACATACACCAAATATAGTAGACCTATTGCTTATAGTATCTGAGATATGGACTTGACCACCAAAACTTAACCTTGTTCACTGATCCATGAAATGAGGTCGAGGTCAAGTGAAAACTGTCTGACAGACATGAGGACCTTGCAAGGTACGCACATATCAAATATAGTTATCCTATTACTCATAATAAGAGAGAAATTAACATTACAAAAAATGTTAACTTTTTTTTCAAGTAGTCACTGAACCATGAAAATGAAATCAAGGACAATGGACATATGACAGATGGAAACTTCACATCATAAGACATCTATATACAAAGTATGAAGCATCCAGGTCTTCTACCCTCTGAAATATTAAGCTTTTAAGAAGTTAGCTAACGCCGCCGCCGCCGCCGCCGGATCACTATCCCTATGTCGAGCTTTCTGCGACAAAAGTCGCAGGTTCGACAAAAATGGTCAAAATATACAAACATTTATTGATTTTAAGCAGATTTTGATATTCTCAATTTTTTTTCTTCATGTTCTCTGATTAATAAACTGTTGATACATGCAGAGATTTGTCTCGCCTTTATGTTATTTTGAAAGTATAAAGAAAATTTGAAAATAAATGGCAATATTAAACAGTCAACAGACCATGACTGAGGGGCGGGACCAAATAATATCCATGGAAATGAGATGTGCCAACTGCATACCAAATATAGTTGACCTACCACTAGCGGTTCTCCTTGAACTGACCTAATCACAAATAATACATTGTTGACGTCGTCGCCATTTTAGTCTCGCTTTTTCTACTTCGTCGTGGCGAGACAAAAATATATAGCAACTGACTTACAAAAAGCCTCGGGACCAGAAGTATTCTGTCGTGCTTTGAACTGTTCGCGTCTAAATCAATTCAATTATGATTTCAAAGATAATAAAAGAAAACGGAAAGAAATTAGACATTCAAACGAGGAAAATAAAACAATCGATTCAGAGAAGAATGCAAGGCCTATTAACTAAAAGACAAAAGACATACAACAGTCCATTAAACACTGCACATAGAAATTAATATCGTGCAAGACATATCACTAATATGATGATAATAGATGTTGACGAAATGTTTTTTGAAATTATAGCAATTCTTTGTTGACTAATGTTCATTCGTTATTACAAAAAATAAACTGAAAATATCTGTCATTTTCTCCCTTCCCAGTTACCCCTATTACTTTTTATGATGTGGACTGGTCACTGTTATTGAATCTTATGCAATTTGGATTAAATTATTATTAGTTTACCTTCAAACTGTTTATTTTTTGTCATACACGTATATTGATTAAATCAGAACGTGCATGAATATGTACAGTAACTTAAACGACTTTCAAACTGGACACTTCAAAATTGTTGTTAATCTTAACAAACAAACAAAATTTCAGTTTCATTATAATGTTATAATTACAATTAATCCCAAACAAAAGTAGTCAGTCAACAAAGTCGAAACATGTCTGATCTGCCTATTTTTGGACATTCAATACGATCGTTTTAAGGTCAAATTCTTCTACCTCACAAAATCTTGTTAGGCAGTTATAGTAATATGAACCCTTCTTTGTACTAGACCGATACGAGCTGGATTTCTAACGTGTTAGTTCATAAGGTAACAGTCCACAGGAAGACATGTCACCTTACTAGGAGGGTATAGTAAGCGGAAAATCAAATCAGGACTGAACTCGGGTATTTCGAGGGAGTGGTTAAGCATTTACTGTTCATCTGGTTACACTAAGGAACTATTTTACTTTGTTGATTAATTTGTGTAAAGAGGCCAGGCATGCAACAGTATTTAATCATCAGCCTGCTTGATGGTATATCGTATACTTAAGGAAGAAAAGAAGAAAAAAAAAGACGAAAACTTATAAAATAGTTAAAATATTGCAAAGAAAACTGGAGGATGTACAAATCAAACAAAAAATCAGAAGTGAACTATTTATTTATCTAGGGTCAGCCATGCCTCAACTTTTACAGCTGCACATGTTTGTCTGTACTCGGTCCTGTACAATTGGTGGTGTAACCATAGCTTTATTAGTCAATAACTTAAGCAGATTGGAGAGAATCCTTGTAAATGGGTACTATCCTCATTTATGGGTACTATCCTCATTTATGGGTATTATACCCCAAAAACGGGTATCAATTTTCAGTGATAAAAAAATAAAACTTTGGATTTACGGATATTTTCTGTCATGATGGCGCAAACATCATTTTACCTAAACACGCCATGACTGAAATATCATCAGGATAAAAGTTAACAGTCCCTTCAAAAAGTAGGATTTTGGAGGCCATTAACTTTGCATTCAGTTCTCATTTTAACTATGGTCTTTAAGGAGAAAATGTTGCCATTTATATGAATATTTGCGCCATGACAACTATCATGATGAAATAAAAAATTTGATTTTTCATCACAGTAAATTGACACCCGATTTTTGGTATAAATCTTCCCCAACCTGTTAAGATGAGCAAATATATGCTTTCATCTCTTTTCTTAATTATGTTTATACGTTTGAAATATAATATACAGAGTTTCCGTTTAAGGTGGACGAAAATGGCTGTGTTTACGCCTCAAAAACCGCTCTGAGTACAGACTAACCTGTGCAGCTGGAAAAGTTTTAAGGCCTGGCATCCAATAGATATATATCATCTTAGTGCATTTTGTGTTTCAGAAAGATAAAATCTCTTTTGGATTTTGATGGGCATTTTTTTATTTCTGCTGTTGGTGTAAAAATAAACAAACACCTGAATTACATTTGATACTGTCCACTCAGATTTCATAATCACAATATAAAAAGGAAAACAATTATCATGAAACATATGTAAACTAGAGGCTCTCAAGAGCCTTATGTAGCTCACCTGTATCGACTGTGGTTTTGAAAATCATGTAAAATAAGGTTAAAATCATAATATATAGTATTAGGTACCCTAATAATGATTGAGGCCAAGTTTGGTTTAATTTGGCCCAGTAGTTAAATTAAAAGCAGGTCATCCCATTGTATTCTTACAATAGTTACTGAAGACCCCTTATCATTATTTAAATTAGTTTTCAAGTTGTGACCATTTGAAATTGTTTTTTTACAATTTTCCCTTATACTTCTATAGTAAACCCTATGTTCTATGTTTAGCCATGGCGGCCATGTTGGTTGGAAGGCAGGGTCATCGGATACATTTTTCAATCAAGATACCCTATTGAAAATTGTGTCTAAGTATAATTCTATTTGGCCCAGTAGATTAAGTGGAGAAAATTTTTGTAAAAGATTACAAAATTTTAGAAAAAATGTTAAAAATTGACTATAAAGGGCAATAACTCATTAAGGGGTCAATTGACAACTTTGGTCATATATTGTCTTATGTGTAGATCGTAATTTGCTGAACATTATTGCTGTTTACAGTTTATCTCTATCTATAATAATATTTAAGATAATAACCAAAAACAGCAAAATTTTCTTAAAATAACCAATTCAGGGGCAGCAACTCAACAACGGGTTGTCTGATTTGTCTGAAAATTTCAGAGCAGTTAGATTTTAACCTGATGAACATTTTTACTTATTGTCAGATTTGCTCTAAATGCTTTAGTTTCAGAGATATATAAGCCAAAAACTGCATTTTACCCCTATTTTCTATTTTTAGCCATGTCGGCCATGTTGGCAGGCAGACACATTTTTTAACTAGATACCCTAGTAATGATTGTGGCCAAGTTTGGTTAAATTTGGCCCAGTAGTTTCAGAGGAGAAGATTTTTGTAAAAGTTAACGGACGACGACGGACGACGGACGCCAAGTGATGAGAAAAACTCACTTGGCCTTTTAGGCCAGGTGAGCTAAAAAATCAGAAATAATTTCACAGTTTTTGTCGAGCCTGCGACTTTGTCGCAAAAGCGAGACATAGCGATCCTATATTCCGTCGTCGGCGTCGGCGTCGTCCACAAATATTCACTGTGTGGTTAGTTAACTTTCTTAAACTATCCTGGATTTCTACCAAACTTGGACAGAAGCTTGTTTATGATCATAAAATAGTATCCAGAAGTAAATTTTGTAAAAAAAAAAATCCTGTTTATCCGTATTTTACTCATAAATGGACTTAGTTTTTCTGCCAGTTAACATTACATTCACTATGTGGTTACAGTTTTTAAAATTTTAATAACTTTTTTAAAACTACCCTGGATTTGTACCATACTTGGACAGAAGCTTGTTTATGATCATAAGATAGTATCCCAAAGTAAATTTTGTTAAAAAAAATCCTGTTTATCCGTATTTTACTTATAAATGGACTTAGTTTTTCTGCCAGTTAACATTACATTCACTCTGTGGTTAAAGTTTTCAAAATTTTAATAACTTTCTTAAACTATCCTGGATTTGTACCAAACTTGGACAGAAGCTTGTTTATGATCAAAAGCTAGTATCTAGGAAGAAATTTTGTAAAAAAAAAATCCTCTTTATCCGTATATTACTTATAAATGGACTTAGTTTTTCTTCCAGTTAACATTACATACAGTCTACAGTTAAAGTTTTTAAAACATTTATTAGATTCATAAACCATCCTGGATTCTTACCAAACTTGAACAGAAGCTTCTTACATTCAAAAGATAGTATCTAGAGGAAAATTTTCAATAATTATTTCCCCATTTTTGTTGAGCCTGTGACTAACAGCAAAAGTTGGCGAGACACTGGGTTCCGCGGTACCCTTACGGATTTTTTTATGTTTATATTTGTAATTCTTCACTATCTGTATTAGATATGTTTGTATTTGTGTTTGCTTAACACATATGGGTGTATTCAGTGACGGACCCAGAACTTTTCATAAGGTGGGGGACAACTGACTGACCTAAGGGGGCCTGCTCCAGTCATGCTTCAGATATTCCCTATATAATCAACCAAATTTTTCCCACAAAAGGGGCCCCTGGATCCGCCTATGGTATTTTTTGCAAATAAAAAATTACTATTATTACATAAACACAGCCATTTTCGTCAATTTGTTATTATGAACCTTTACATTTTTGGTATCCGTAAACAGAAAGAATTCCATATGGCACCCCACGGATTTAAATTAATACATTATTATGTTCTTTTAGTATGGTGGGGATGCCATATGGAACTCTTACCACCATTTCTCAAATGGGGGATATTTTTCTAGTGTTAACACATATTTTTTAATACGCATTTTAGTCTTGAAATGGCACATATTCATGAAAAAGCAGCAAAAACTTTCAATAGATGAATATCCCAATTTACTGAGAAGTACAAGCGTATGATATAAACTTCGAAAAAAATACAATTTTTTAAGGTTGATAAAATTTGTTAAACCCAAAATTCTTTTCAGAGTTGTTTCTTGGTTAATAGATTTGTGTCATTTTAAGTAGAAAATAATCAGACAAGAAAAGTTGTTTTTAGCCTTATCAAATGAATATTCAATTGAGGGATTGTAACTCATTTTTGGGAATAGTTCCCCATTTGGCGGATTTGGGCTATAGTATCCAAAATGGTTTATCAATCATGGTGATAATTCCCAACCAGTGGAAATCTCCCGTGCCATAAACTTTGATATTTTGTCTATTTCATTTAACACTTACCTCGTTCATGTTTAGATCCATAGTCCAGCAGAAGATATTCTGGTCGAAAAATTCTTTTTGAAATCCCGAGTTATTTATTTAGTGTTGTCGATGCTACCTTCGATTGCTAACACTTCTCAATACAACCAATGGGGTTAACATTACTCAGACTAATCTAAATCTGACGTCAGATCACATTTGTATAGTCATTACCCAAAACAAAATGTAAACACGTTTCTAAGAAATAGACCAATCGACACAATGAACAGCATTGCATGCATTGTGGGCTACTACGAGTTTACAATCACTAGCGATCATGTGGAATTTGGTTAATAGTAAGATCTTACTATACAAATCCTTGGATTAACAGTGTAAATTTTTTTTAGAGTCTCGATATTTCATGTTTACAATTGTAATAAATTATAATATGTATAGCATAATCTTCAATGAGCATGCTCAGTTTTAAACTAAGATTCGTTCATCGGCTTAAACACTCGACTTATCGTCGTCTTTTCAAAGAAGTTGAACAAGAATTGTCTAAGCGCCACAGAGAACACGGCATATAATTCCTGCTGAATATAAAGCATGTCCAGGCCCAAGCTTTACATGCTTGCAAAGCAAAATGGATTTATGTTGACTTTTTGGCAAATCAGTATTCGCAATAATTTGTTATATAAATAAACTGGGCACGATTTAGTCAGTCAGCTTGACATATTGTGTGGACACCTCTCTATTCAGCCAGGATTCTTCTTCGTCAAAACTATCTCCCCCATTAGGGAGCTACCATTTGATTTTTATGGGGGGGGGGGGGGGGGGTAGGATGAAAAATTTTGCCTTTTTATTTTTCACTCTCTTCGGTCCTGAATTTTTTTTTATTAGTTTATCCTGACTTTTTTTTACATAAAATGTCATCCTGCCTTTTTTTTTTTGCGAAGTTGCTCATCCTGCCTTTTTTTTACTTAAAACTCCTGTCTTGCCTTTCTTTCAAATTTCACACCCCCACCCACCCCAATAAAAATCAAATCTAATTTTTTTAATCGTGAAATGGAAGCCATTGTAAGGATGACGCGCTCTATATATAGCTCTTTTATCCACATAGCTTCATTACGATTCTAACATGACAAGACAAATGTATCTACTGGCTATTAAGCATCTTTTAATGTACTTTTAGACCTTTTGTCAACTTGAAACAATTTTCTGATCGGTTGTCAGGGGGAATTTTTGAAAGGTACAAAAATACTAAAAACATTCTAATTAAATATTTCGTGGAATGGCAGACTAAATATTTTCAGAGGTTGAAGATTTATTACCCTAGATATCATGGAAGCTATGAATTTTTAATATCCACTTGTAAAGTCTGTCGTCAAATACTTTTAGTAAAAAATTGTTATTCAAACACCCCTACTCTTTTATTATGACTCATTAGAAAGGTATTTCACTTGACCCATATATTTCATTTTTTAGTACTGTGAATTTTTCATGATATTATATCAACATGTAGCCTAAATATATAAAAAATATTAGTAATAGAATCTAAAGCGAGATGATGTATCAAATATGTTTGCCTTGTACGTTTTCAAGACAAAACTGTCAACTCAAACACACCTGAACAAAAAAGATCCACATATATTTCTATCTACCACAACCGACTGTTTTGTGAAAATTTGTCTTTAATTTAAAAGTTTACAAATATCTCGAAGTACCATACTACAATTAAAGTAAAAACACGTTTATAAAATTGAGAATGGAAACGGGGAATGAGTCAAAGAGACAACAACCCGACCATAGAGCAGAAAACATCCCAAGGCCAATTATGTGTCTTCAACATGGCGAGAAAATCCCGCACCCGGAGGCGGACTTCAGATGGCCTAAACAATAGTGTATACTAGTTCAGCGAAAATGGACGTCACACTAAAATCCGAAACATATAAATGAACTAAAATTAAAAAAAAACAACATAATACTAAAAAAGGCCAGATGTTCCGGACTTGAGACAGACGCAAAAATGCGGGGGTGGTTAAACATGTTTTGTGAGATCGTATATAAATTATTAACCTACATTAAACTTTTAAATCCCATAGAAACAGTTGTAAACAATTCAAATATACCAAATTGGCCTTTTTTTACCTTCTCTAATAAAGAGTTCAATTTCTTTTGTTTAATTTCAACTGGATATCAGCCTGTATTGCCGAAGACTGCATGGCGTCTGCTGGTTATTTTTATCGTTTGGTTGGTCCATCGTTGACATGTACGCCACATCTCTTTTTGTTCGTGGGGGCCTAGGTGGCCGAGTGGTCTAAGTTGTTTAACACTGTATCAATAGCCTGTCTGAGGTTGTGAGTTCGAATCCCGCATGTGGCAGGTGCGCTCGACTTCAGTCGTTTTTGTCTGTTTTCCAACCGAAGGTCGGTGGTTCTCTACGGGAACTCTAGCTTCTTCCACCAATAATAACTGACCACTACGAAATAGCACAACAGTGCCGAAAGTAGCGTTAAACACCAATCAATCAATCTTTTTATTCGTAGTAATATAGATATTTGAGATAAGACCATAAAATTGGTATATGTGTTAATGAAACAAAAGGGTATGATGTATCAGTTCATGACACAAAATTACTACACGAACATGAATAACAACGTTTTTATTGTTGTTCTCAATCTCAAAGTCACAGTTAAGCCTTTGTGAAGAAGTCGCGAATCCTTAAGTAACAAAAACTGATGATCATGGATTAAAATTTTAAATCATATTTTGAAACAAAGCAATAAAAAAACATATCTTGAAACAAAGCAATAAAGAAAGTATTTTTACAGGGTCATAATTTGCTGTAAACAAATTGAAATATGCAACGACAAAAGTCAGTACTATAACGTTTACTTCTTTTGTGAGCCATAAAAAAATCACAGCAAAAAACAAGATTTTTAAGTGCATTTTACATAAATTTACACTCGCTTTCCCAATTTAACAAGATAAGGCCCCTCCAATTTGCCAAAATCTTAATGCAAGTACATATATGTCTTTTGGCCCGGTTTTTTTGTGCCGCTTGGTTTCTTTCTCGTGAGTGAATGCCTTATAACTTTGTTTATTCGGGAGAAATCCGTATGCGCCAAAAATGCATCCTTGCTCAACTTAATTGAACAAATGCTACGTTTGCGCAACTAGTTTTTAAAAATGTATAGTATCATATGCGCCAAAAGTAAATTCATGTTCAACGATTTGACTCAAATTCTCACATTTGATTTATTACATAATATAACGTATATCCAAATTACGAAAAAGTCTAAAATAAACAATTAACACTGCATGGACACGATTATATGTATCAGTATTTCGTGTGTATTTTTACGAAGACTGCCGACGGTCATATAACCCGATATAAACATAAATATGAAAATCAATAGATAGCGAGCACGTCCAATTGGATTTTTCTAGGTCTGTTTGACTTCATGCTATGAGTTAAAACAATATGATAATCATCGTTTTTACCTATACAACTTGTGGATCGAACAAGTCAACGAAATGGTTCACCCTTGATTCACTTTCAATGTTGACATTCTTTTCCTTTTAATAACCGAACAAGCCGAGAACAAGCGTAACTCATATAAAAATAAGGAGATGTGGTATGATTGCCAATGAAACAACTATCAACCCAAGTTCAAATGAAGTGGATGTAAGCAATTATAGGCAACCGTACGGCCTTCAACAATGAGAAAACCCCATACCGAAAAGTCGGCTATAAAAGGCCCCGACAAGAAAAATATGAAAAAATTCAATTGAGAAAACTAACGGCTTAATTTATAACAAAATAATTTATGAAAACAAGTATGACAGACATGAACGAACGACAACCACTGAACTATAGGCTCCTGACTCGGGACAGGCACATAAAGAATAGGTTAACAAATGGCCCACTTTTGTTTTCACAAAAGGTAAACACCATGTTGCCTTTTGTTTACAACAAAAGGTAACAATTTGTGACCTTTTGTATAATTGTGAAAGATGTGCAAAGGTGATCTTTTGACAGTCAAAAGGTAATAAAAGATAACCTGTTGGTGATCAAAAGATGACAAAAATATGAACTCTTTGTACATTTTGTCACAAAAATGTTTACAAAAGATACCTTTCCATGATAAAAAGGTGACCAAAATATGAACTTTCTATACATTCCTGTCACACAAATGGTAATAAAATTTACCTTTCCATGGTAACAAAAGGTGACCAAAATATGAACTTTCTATACATTCCTGTCACACAAATGGTAACAAAAGATACCTTTCCATGGTAACAAAAGGTGACCAAAATATGAACTTTCTATACATTCCTGTCACACAAATGGTAACAAAAGATACCTTTCCATGGTAAAAAGGTGACCAAAATATGAACTTTCTGTACAGTCTTGTCACACAAATGGATAAACAAAAGATACCTTTCCATGCCCATGGTAAAAAGGATGACCAAAATATGAACTGTGTACATTCCTGTCACACCAAAAGATGATTGAAAGCTAAAAATCTTCACATTCTTGTCACAAATTTAAAGTTGGTTACCACAGTTGTTGTTTGAGGTAAAAAAATATTACAAAATGATGAACTACCAGCAAATTTTTTGTCTTACAAATAGTAACTGTAATAAAATTACTTGTGTTTTGTGAAAAATAACCTTCTACAAAAATTTGTTAGGCAGATTGTGACAGTAAACAAAACCTTATAAACCATAATGGTAGCTAAAAAATGGTGTGGCAAATGGTTTTGAAAAACAAATGACAAACAGAAATTAAAAAATGGTCACATTGGCTCCAATTGAAAGACTACCAATTCAAACCAGATTAATGGATTCAATGATATTACTGTTAGACAAAAAGGTAAACCAATTTACTATAACTGTATTATATAATGCACAAACACCCTACATGACTCATGGCTTGTGAATCAGGAACTGCTAACCTTTCCTTAAAGCAATTTAGTTTTTTCAGTGGCCAGTTACTGACAGCTAGTTCAAAGCCAATAACAACTGATAAAAGAAATCATGTATCTTAGACTAATATATCAACAGTACACATCCAACATCCAATGAATTTAGTGTAAAGACATCATTAACAGTCAGAGAAAAACATGACCTTGTGAAAGTACATATATGTGTATAACAATACTATTTAGTACGCTTTTAATTTACTGA